TAAAGGAATATTTTTGAGGTCTAACAATAGGCGTGGATTTTTAAAGGAATATTTTTGAGGTCTAACAATAGGCGTGGATTTTTAAAGGAATATTTTTGAGGTCTAACAATAGGCGTGGATTTTTAAAGGAATATTTTTGAGGTCTAACAATAGGCGTGGATTTTTAAAGGAATATTTTTGAGGTCTAACAATAGGCGTGGATTTTTAAAGGAATATTTTTGAGGTCTAACAATAGGCGTGGATTTTTAAAGGAATATTTTTGAGGTCTAACAATAGGCGTGGATTTTTAAAGGAATATTTTTGAGGTCTAACAATAGGCGTGGATTTTTAAAGGAATATTTTTGAGGTCTAACAATAGGCGTGGATTTTTAAAGGAATATTTTTGAGGTCTAACAATAGGCGTGGATTTTTAAAGGAATATTTTTGAGGTCTAACAATAGGCGTGGATTTTTAAAGGAATATTTTTGAGGTCTAGCAATATTTTTGAATTTCTTAAAATTTTCATTCCTTCCCTTTTTTCATTTTCCATTTATTTGAATAGATTTTTATAATCCACCCCCCATTTACAAAAATACAAAAAATATATTCATAGAATAAAATAAAAATTTCATTAGAATAAATATTCCACCTTTTGCCAATGCATATGCTATGCCATCAAATCAAATGGCGTTGGAGAGGATGGTTGGAATACTACCACTTAAAAATTCCGGATATGAGAATAAATTTTTATTTGGTTTTGTCATTCTATGACACTGCATAGCTTGTTGAATAGACATGATGTGTCCGGGGGAGGGGGATTTTGAATATAATCCCCCAAGCAATTCCAGCCACCTTTGCAATACCTTTATGATTTCATATCTCTCAAGGGCTTTACACGGCCGTCAGTCTTCTTTGATTTGTTCTGATGCTGATCAAAACAAAACACATTTTCATAATCGTGGTTTTATTTTCAATATTTGTTATTTCATTTTTTATTGTTTTTTTATATTTTGTTTATTTTTTCTGTGTGTCTATGTGTTCGATATTCAACGAAAATTGCACATCAAAATCCGCAGTTCAGTTATGCCGCCATCAGTCTATAAAATTTACATATTTTGATTAATTAATGTCTGGATACACAATGTTTTTTTATTATTTTATTTATTTTTCATTAAGGGATGGATGTAAAGTTTTCCCTTTTTTCCAAAAAGAAAACAATTTCACTTTTTCAATATGCAAAAAAAAACGAGCTATAAAATTCAGCCAAACATAATATTTCGTGATAGATTAATATCACATTATATATTGTGAATAAATAAAATATTCTAAAATTTAATTCGATAATGGATTTTTTAAATAAAAGTTTCTACAAAAATGTGGACAAAATTCTATTAAATAAATTGTATGAAGCATATATATAATGACAGTACTTATACGCAACATGTAAATATCCAAATCCATGCCTTCCCTAGGACCCTAAAAATATTCTTTTAAAAAATCCATACCTACTCTAGGTCCCTAAAAATATTCTTTTAAAAATTCCATACCTTCTCTAGAACCCTAAAAATATTTCTTTAAAAAATCCACGAATTCTCTAGGTCCCTAAAAATATTTCTTTAAAAAAATCCACACCTTCTCTAGAACCCTAAAAATATTATTTTAAAAATCCACGCCTTCTCTAGGTCCCTAAAAAACATTCTTAAAAAAATCCACGCCTTCTCTAGGACCCTAAACATATTCTTTTAAAAAATCCACGCCTTCTCTAGGACCCTAAACATATTCTTTTAAAAAATCCACGCCTTCTCTAGGACCCTAAACATATTCTTTTAAAAAATCCACGCCTCTTGTTAGTCCTCAAAAAAATATTTATTTATGGCTTGTGACAGAACTTTCGTTCCATAAGCCGAGTTTAAAAAAGATTTCCAGGGTCGTCGGTCTTTTGCACAGTTTTTCCAATTTCAAAAACCATATTCGGCAATGTTGTCTTCGACTTGATCTTTCCATCTTATTCGCGGCCTTCCCCTTCTGCGTGAATTATCAGCAGGTTCGCTTTTATATGCCTTCTGGGCTGGGGCATCTTCATCCATTCTCACAACATGACCCAGCCAACGTAGTCGCTGCAGCTCAATACGTCCGAGAATAGCTGGTACAACTCATGGTTCATTCGACGACAATATTCTTTCGGAGAATTTGTCTCTCAAACACTCCAAGAGTTGCCTCATCAGATTGCGAAAGTACCCATGCTTCAGACCCATATAACAACACGGGTAGTATCAGCGTCTTTAGAGTGTGACTTTGGTTTGGCGGGAGGTGGCCTTGCTTTTGAGTTGTTTGTTCAGACCATATTAGCATCTGTTGGCCATTACTATCCTTCTCCGAATTTCAAAACTGATGACATTCGTTTTATTTATGGCGGTACCAAGGTATATAAAATCTTTAACTACATCGAAACTATAGTTCTCAAGTTCCACAGTTGGTCCGAGTCTACTGGAGGTCTTGCGCGTTGATACCATCAGCTTGGTCTTCTCGCCGTTTACTGTTAGACCCACTTTGGCAGACTCCTTCTCAATTTGTTCAAGGTGGCTTTCAATGTTCGATCCATTATATCGATGTCATCGGCGTAGGCGAGTAACATGTGTTGTTTGGTGTACAGAGTGCCGTTTCTGTTCACTTTTGCCTCTCCAGCAGAATGTTAAAAAGGTCACACGATAAACTATCACCTTTTCTGAATCCTCGTTCGGTATTAAAGGGCTCCGAGAGGCGCTTCCCGACTTTAACTGCTGATCTTGTGCCAGTTAAAGTTATCCTGCATAGCCGAATTGATTTTGCAGGAATGCCAAACGCAGACATAGCTTTATACACCTCTGAACGGATAGGGCTATCGAATGCGGCTTTATAGTCGACGAATAGGTGGAATATATCAATGTGTTTTTCGTGGGTTTTTTCCTGAATTTGGGGCAGAGTGAAAATCTGGTCAATGGTGGATTTGCCAGGTCTGAAGCCGCGTTGGTATTGTCCAATGATGTCATGGACCATTGGCTTCAATCGTTCACACAGCACACTGGGTAGCACTTTATATGCGATGGGAAGGAGATTTATTCCTCTACAGTTGGCACCTTGTTTCCTATTTTTGTGCACGGGACACAGGATGCTGAAGTTCCAATCATTGGGCATGCTTTCCTCTAGCCAAATTGTACCAATCAGCTGGTACCTGCTCCTTACCAGCATCTGACCACCAGTCTTGAATAGTTCGGCTTGTAACCCATTGGCACCTGCTGCTTTATTATTATTCAGCCGATTGATTTCTATTCTGACTTCATCTTGGCTAGGTGGTATACACTCTATACCATTATCACTAATTGGTTCTGGGGTATCCTCTTCACCGCTACTATTTGTTACCAGAAGTTTTTCAAAATGCTCCTTCCAGATCTTCAACACGATTTCCTTCTTCATCTATACAGGAAGATGTGCCTGAACCAAAGCCTTCGGATTGGTGTTTTACCCGTTGGTAGAATTTTAAGACTTCATTCTGACTCCTGTACATCTCGATTTGCTCACGCTCACGTTTTTCTTGTTCTTTCTTCTGAAAATACGTTTCTCCTCTCTCCTTTTCTCCCGATAGTTATCCATCGCATTACGTGTTGTTACTGTTCGCAGGGTTGCCCTATACGCTGGGTTTTTATATCATTAGAATTACGACACTCCTGATCGTACAACAGATTTCTTGATGGTGGTCTTTGGCACCCAAGTGTTGCTGCAGTTTGTAGGGAGTGGGCAATTTTCTGCCATGGAGCTTCGATTTTATTATCGGGGAAAGGGGTGCGTTCGTCAAGCAGTTGGGCTAGTTAAGCGGAGTAGACTTCTGCTATCTGCAACATTAAGACGGGTGCGTACCTTGGCCACAAGGTAATGGTACGAATCGATATTCGCTCCCGGATCGATTGGACGTCTAAAACACTGTATGAATGCCTTCCGTCTATCACAACATGATCGATTGATTTCTCGTTGTTCGATCGGGAAAAATCCCAGTGGCCTTGTGTATATCGATATGCTTGAATCTGGTGCTGGTAACTACCATGTTTTTTTATTTGGTGCCGCGAATTCAATCAACCTCATGCCGTTGTCTGATGTTTCTTCATGGAGGCTGAATTTTCCGACGGTGAGAACAAAGATATTTCCCTTCCGATTTTTGCATTAAAATCTCCTAGCATAATTTTAATGTCATGGCCAGTGCAGCGGTCTTTGCTCTGTTCATTTTTGTCTTCGGTCGGAGCATGGGCTTTTATGCATATTATAGCAATTCGCTCATATACTGGAGTTAATCTGGAGACGAGGTCTTTTATTCTCCTGTTAACCATAAATCCGCAGCCAAATTCACGTCTCGTTTCATGGCAGCTATAATAGAGTGCGTAATCTTCTGATTTACTTAAGCCAGTCCCTTTCCATCGCATTTCCTGTAAGGCAATAATATCGACTTTGTACTTCTTGGGTACATCCGCCAAAGCGAACACTACGCTTGTTCTGTACAGCGTGCGCACATTCCAAGTGGTTCTTTATACGTGGATCGTCAACGTTATGGGGGTTTGGTTTTCTTTTTCTTTGCTTTTTAATAGTAGGTTGGGTTTTCCGAGAGTGGGCAAGTAACCCGACGCCTCATCCCATTTTTTATAGTTCTTACGGGTGAACTCGCGGCACATATTAGCTCGCTATTCATCGGGTGATGAAAATAGCTTCCCCAGGTAGCACCGCGGGGAGGTCAGTGTAACAATTGAAATGAAAGAGGGACCTAGATAAGCCTGGACTTCGCCATGTTACATCCAATCAGAGTCGTTGCTTGGTATCTATCATCCCATATGCCACCCACGTCTCTTGTTAGTTCTCAAAAATATTTATTTAAAAAATCCACCCCTAAAAGTAGGCTTTAAAAATATATTTTCTTTGAAAAAAAAATTCTAAAAATATTCTCTTAGTCCTATAGTTCCTGTAATCAGTTGTTTTCATTTTTTTTTTCTCTTTTCCAGCACGATCGCACCCACAAATACGAACGTGACATAAAAACCCGTGAGGAAATCACCTCGTTAATAGCCCATCATGTCACAGCGGTTAATTATATTTATCGCAACACCAAATTCGATGGACGTACCGAACATCGTAATATACGCTTTGAGGTAAGATTTACTTAATTATGTGCCCCACAGCCTTTGAACCCTGCATCCATCTTCAGGCGGAGGTGGTCGGCCGGGTGGTCAAGCTCATCATCATAACCCTCGGAACACAGCACACTCCTTTTGTCGCATATATATGTTTTTAACTAGGTGTACACAATGTTAACAACGAATTGTGGTGGTCACCATGTTCCGGATGCTGGCTGGCTGAATCCGATGACGATGTCGTTGGTCATAATATGGAAAAATGGTTGACAATCCAATAAATCCACAGATTGTCCGGCATGCTTTCCACCACTCTACCAACGGAAAGTGCTTACACGAATTTTTAATTAATTCATCATCCGCCAGGCAGTCCGACCAGACCACAATACAATTTGTATCTCTCCCCACCCAACCTTTACTTTTAAGTGGTGGGTGTAGGAAAAAATCCACCGAAACAATCCTGGCGATTTATGGCTTAAACTGCAATTTCCTGTTTATGTTGGTGTACGAGAGTGTGTGTATGTGTTCGCCGGGTTATGTTTGTTTTTATTTATCATCATCATCGATAGCATTAATCATAATTTCTGTTTCCTCAATTTTTTCCTCCACAGGTACAACGCATCAAAATTGATGATGACTCAGCCTGCCGTTCCTCCTATAATGGGCCCCATAATGCCTTTTGCAATGAACATATGGATGTTTCGAATTTCCTTAATCTCCATTCATTAGAGGATCATTCGGACTTCTGTTTGGCTTATGTATTCACCTATCGTGATTTTACCGGTGGTACTTTGGGTTTGGCCTGGGTGGCCAGTGCCTCTGGAGCCTCAGGAGGTATTTGTGAAAAATATAAAACCTACACAGAGACAGTGGGTGGCCAGTATCAAAGTACCAAGAGGTCACTGAATACCGGCATCATCACCTTTGTCAACTATAATAGTCGGGTGCCGCCCAAGGTTTCGCAGCTCACACTGGCCCATGAGATTGGACATAATTTTGGATCACCGGTAAGTAAAGGCATTTTTTTAAAAAATTCTCTCAGATTCTCACCTTGATCTTCTCTTTTTCTCCCATCTACAGCACGACTACCCCCAGGAATGCCGTCCGGGTGGTATGAACGGCAATTACATTATGTTCGCCAGTGCCACATCCGGCGATCGTCCCAACAACTCAAAATTCTCCTCCTGTTCCATACGCAATATCTCCAATGTCCTCGATGTTCTTGTGGGCAATATGAAACGTGATTGTTTCAAGGTATCCGAGGGAGCCTTCTGTGGCAATAAAATCGTGGAACAGGGTGAAGAATGCGATTGCGGCTTCAATGAGGATGAATGCAAGGACAAATGTTGCTATCCTCGTCTAATTAGCGAATATGATCTCTCGCTGAATAGTTCAGCTCGAGGTTGCACCCGACGTGCCAAGACCCAATGTTCACCCTCCCAGGGTCCATGCTGTCTACCCAACTCCTGCACCTTTGTACCCTCGAATTATCATCAAAAATGTAAAGAGGAAACTGAATGTTCCTGGTCGAGTAGCTGCAATGGCACCACAGCCGAGTGCCCTGAACCCAAGCCACGCGATGATAAGACAAAATGTAACAACGGCACTGCTCTATGTATACGCGGCGAGTGTTCCGGCTCCATATGCCTGTTGTGGAATATGTCCGAATGCTTTTTAACCTCACAACAGCAGCCGCATGTCGACAAACGTAAACTCTGTGAATTGGCCTGTCAGAATGGCAATGACACCACGACATGCCGTAGTACATCTGAATTTGCTCATCTATTTGGTTTACCCGAGGGCGGTATCAGTCTGCGCCCTGGGTCACCGTGTGATAATTTCCAAGGTTACTGTGATGTGTTCCTGAAATGTCGTGCCGTCGATGCTGATGGGCCATTGTTGCGACTCAAAAATCTCTTACTCAACAAGGAGACCCTATTGACGGTGGCCCAATGGATAACGGAGAATTGGTATATTGTGGTCCTACTGGGCATTGCATTTATTATTGTTATGGGTATATTTATCAAATGTTGTGCCGTGCATACGCCCAGTTCAAATCCTAAAAAGAGAAGAGCCCGTAGAATCTCCGAAACCTTAAGAGCTCCCATGAATACAATAAGGCGCATGGTAAGTCAAATGAAACCCCCCATATTTTCAATAATAATCTCAAACCCTCCCTATTTTTCCAGCGCCATCCCCATGGCCGCAGTGCTGGCCCGCGCAGCATACCACCGCCAGTGCACGACAGTCGTGCCCATCATCGCAACTATCCACCCGAATGGGATCGTCATCATCGTTCAGGTGCTGTCAGCAGTGGCGCCGCTGGTGCTGTTCCCCTACCCTCGTCTAGCAGTAATCATGCCAGTCGTGTGGCGGCGGCCGCTTCTTCTTCATCAAGACCCTCAGGTGGTGGTGCTGGTCGCAGTTCACGTTCCAACGGATCTCGGCAACCAAGCAGTTCACGTTCAGCTGGACAACATGGGTATGCTGATATACCACCACCGAGTGGTTTGGGTCCATCACCAACAGGTGGTGGCGGTGCTGGTGGTTTACATATGGGTGGTGGTGGTGCAGCCATGGCTGCTGGGTCGGGTTCATCAACTAGTGGTTTATCACGTGCCCAAATGCCTTTACCCGCCCTGCCGTCCAATGCACAAACGCAACAACAACAACAACTGCCACATCAAGCTTATTATGCGCCGAAAGGTGTGAAAACTAAATTTTTTTTATATTGAAATTTTAGGTGTTTTAGGATAGGGAATTGAAAAAGGAAAAGAGGAGAGAGATATGAAAATTTATTGTTAGGGATCTCTTTGAAAAATTATATATTATTTGAAAAAAATCCAACTCCAGAGAAAAAAATCGATGTCTGCATCTGAAACGGGCCTGGCAGTCCTCCTATCAACATCCAATTATCCGCAAAGCTCTTTGTCCGAACTGTATTTCCACGCATATATATAGGCTTCAAGAATACTTCCTAACAAATCCACGCCTAAAGATAGGTCTACTGTAAGTCCTTGAAAATATCTTTTAAAAATCCACCCCTAAAGATAGATCTACTTTAGGTTAGGTAAGGGATGTACGGTTTTTAATAACAACCGTCCACTCGGAGACTATGTCCATTGTGATCATCCTTTTATATTACCTGTAAAGAAAAGAAAAAGAGAGAGTGAAGGTGCAAGGAGAAAATATAGTGAGGGAAGAAGAGCGGAAGAAAGGTTATTTTAGCCATGTCAAATTTTTGACAAATCATAGGATCTGGTTTGGGTCTATTTTGGAGAAGAAGACTAGATTATCAATTTCATATCTTCCAAACTGTTTATGTCTTCTGCTAATCAGCGATGTACATTTACAGAGGATGTGTTCAATTATTTCCAGTTCTTCTTCGTCCTCACATAGACGACAGTAATCCTATTCATTGGAGTCCCATTTCGAAGTCGGAGATCTAATCTTGCAGTGACCTTTTATGATCCACACAACGATTATGATCTCCCTCTTGTTGTGTGTCAGCAGCGAAGACGTTCTTTTACGAGAGAATTCAGATTTTGATATTCTATAAGCAGGTTCTCTTAGCCATCTGTTGCCGACTACCTCGCAGTAGAACGCACGGATTCTGCCAATGAAATAGCCGATGGGAGCTTTCACAGATCTCTCAATCGGAAAATTTGACGACTGTGAGCCCACTCGAGCAAGCTCGTCAGCTATCTCATTCCCTGCAAAGTCGCTATGTCCTAGAATCCAACATAAACTAACTATCTGTCGTATATCATTCAAAGCGGACTTGCAATCATGAACTGCTTTTGAGTTTATAGTATTTTACTATCTCATTAAGTGATTTTACTATCTCGGCCGCTTTCGTGATTGCAAGAATCTCTGCTTGAAAAACGCTAAAGAGTTTGTTGAGTTTATATGAGTTATATGTTCACAATCCCTACAGTAAAACCCTGCGCCAGTGCCTTCCTTTGACCCGTCTGTAAAGAATGACAAACCTGGCAGAGGTAAAGAGCCACTAGTCCAGGATTCCCTACTAGGAAACTGAACTTTGATGTCATTAAAGTCCCTATGAGAAGGAACATAGTCAGTAATATGACTATTCGCCTAAAGAGGTCACAACCTGGCGTTATGTTTAGGATGCTGCCATGACCATAGTTCACCGATTTCAAGGCATCCGTTTCCCGGAGACTCACGGCACACCTGGCCGCCTGGAATTTAATCAGAATGTCCAAAGGTTGGAGATTCTTCTTAACGCTCGCAGGATAGAAGCCGATCGCT